CTTAGAGGGGATCTCATCACCATGTACCAGTACTTAAAGGGGAGCTACAAAGATGGAGACCCCCTTTTTACAAGGAGTCACATGGTGAGGACAAGGGGTAACGGGTACAAGTTACTCCCAGGGAGGTTCCGACTGGACACGAGAGGTAAATTTTTCACCATGAGAACAGTCAATCATTGGAACGATCTCCCCAGGGAAGTGGCTGACTCCGCTACGCTGGACAATTTTAAGACTCAGCTGGACATGGTGCTGGGCCATCTCGTCTAGACTGTGCTCTTGCCTAGAAAGGTTGGACCAGATGATCCTTGAGGTCCCTTCCACCCTGGTATTCTATGATTTTAATCTCTTCACTAGCCCATAGGAATGACACACACAGTTCATTTTAACCTTTATTATAAGAGATTGAACCAATCTCCACCCCCGCCCCACACACAGACATCACGCTCACCTAGGAAACACCAGTATTTTCCACCTATTGCAATTTCCCTGCCAAATGATGGACAAAATTCATCATGCTGTAGTGTAAAAGTCTTACCATATATTCGAGCAGCAGTGGCTTGTAAACTTTGTAATAGTTCCTTGTTCGAACGAGAAGCAGCAGAATGAATGATATCAATCAGCTGATTTGAAAGCTCAGGGTTTCTCAAGCCAAGCAGAGCAAGCTGCTGAGGTAAGCCAGCCAACCAACGAGACAAAACTTTACTTCGACTTCTAAAGGAAGAGGGAAAATTAGTCAGGGGGGGACGGACTACAAGAAAACAGCAACAAAAACCCCACTTACTCTTTCCAGTCTTGACTAAGTTGCTTTAATGTCAGGTTCAATTAAATGACAATAAACTGCAATACTGTTATTTGCTGAGAATATTTCACCAGAAGATCTGAGCACAATTCTGTGCTACTAGGGTTACATCAGAAGTATTTATTTGATCCATAGGCTTTGCACTGCATATTTTCAACTCTCAGAAAATATCTGTGTGAACTGATCATATGCTGGCAAAGCAACTTTTCCATTTATCATTAGTTTTATCAGTTTATATTTAATGAGTTATGAGTCAGGCTAAAAAGCCATGAGACTACTACACCCTGAATAATACCGAACCCCCCAATCAAGCTACTACTCTTTACACTAGACTTTTAAATTCAATTATACCTTTGCTGACGTCTTGCTTGTCAATTCAGATACAGCTTAAAGCAGAATGAAAAACTAGAACTGGTTGCTTTAAATAGGAGTTGATAACATTGGTTTACTTCCTTGCCCTGTTCAACTGCTACAGTAAATCAATTATTTACGTCAACCATAATCAAATTTCTCCCCCCACCCCCTCCCCAAGATCCAAACCCCTTTTTTGTTTTTTTTCAGGCATAGTTTCATTTCTTAACCAGGAGCGATGGTTAAAAGAAAAGGAACAATATTAAAAATGAGATTTAAAAATGTAAACAAAGGTGTTCAAAACAAATTCTATACTTACATTTTTGTCCTGAAGAAATTAACTTGGGTGATTAGAGACTACTGTTTTCCCTTTTTTATTTTATTATATTTCTCTTTATATCACTTATAAAGAGTAAGTACTGAATTACTGTAACAAAGGTTTTCAGGAAGGTCTTTTACTAACATTTTCCAAATTCTACAGTAAATTTTTAAAGTGCAATTTAATAATTCACACTAATTAAAGTAAGGCTTCCTGAATCCCATTTATAGTTTTACCACTGAATTCTTACGGCACACAAGCAAATTACTTCAAAAATGGCTCTCCTAAAGGTGCTACTATTAAAAGACTTTCTTAATAGATCTGCATATTCAAAACACCACGAAAAACTTCAGGGACCGAACCAAATCCTCACTTTATGCACAAGCTATACAGAGCTGATACAGTCATTTATTTTCCCCTGAATATCAACACAGCTAATGACTCAGCTGCACACTCCAAATGTAGAAAACACAATAGGAAGCATAAGGAACAACTGGAAGAATAATTTAGCTGAATTTGCAGGATTAGCAATTAGAAAAGGAAACAGCGTTAAAAAAATCAGAATGAAGAAACGTCAAGAGAGAAACTTTCTACCGTGACTTTTTAAAGCAGAATTGCACTTCAAAATTTAATAGCTGAGCCCTCAAGGTTAGCTTTCACAGTACAGCTCTACTAAACTACCACTTTGCTCCTGCCAAAGCCAGACACAGCATTACGGGTATGGCCTGACCACTACTGACCAAATACAGATATGAATTTTAGTCAATCTGCTGGCCACGTTCCTCCTAGCGTAACCCACGGCAGTTTGCCTTACACTCATGGCAGGGATGCACTGTTAACTTACATTTGGCTTAGCATATACTGTAAGCCCCAGTTCCTTTTTTTACTAGTGCTGCTGTTCAGCAAGCAAAATATTAAGAAAACATCCTGCGTCAAACACTCTCCCCTTGTCCATGCGGCCAGTCATTCATCACAGAAGGCTATTGTGCTGGTAAAGCATGATTTGCTCTTGCATACATCCCAACTTATTCTTGATTACCTGCTTGTCCCTTCCATGTTCAGAAATTAATTCCAAGTCAAGAGGCTGCATGATCTTTCCAGGGACTGAGCCGAGGCTCATCAGCCTGAAATTCGCCAGATTCTCTTCAAGACAGGTTAATAACAGTCTTCTTCCAGTCACACAGAACCTCCTGCAGTCACCATGGTTTTTCATGTATGACAAACAACGGTCACACTTTCACACGAGACAACTTTTTCAGCCTCCCTGCATACTTGTCTGGGCCATGGATTTCACTACATTCAGCTGATCGGATTCTTCACTTGCTAAATTTAAAGAGGCTTTTCTTTACATAAGATCTTACTTGTCCTGCTGGAACACCTAGCTTTCTATTGACTTTATCCAGAGCCTCAAGCAAGCACAACTGAGATGTTTCAGTGAATTTCAACATCAGCGGAAGGAATCCATAGCTTAGGTTGCCCCTGCAGCTCTTATAATTTGGGCTTTCTTGGGCATAAGTAACTACAAATAAAGTCAACTGAATGAGGTATCAAATGATCTTGTTCAAACATTATAATGCTTCCATGTATCTTCTGCTACAGTTTAGTATCTTTAAAAACTACACTTGCTTTTTTCCCCACAACCTTAGTACACAGGCAGCATATAGAAGGAGAAAGATCAATCACAGGATTATTGTTTGCAGCTGCCTGGTTGAATTTTACATTAAAAAAATCTTGTCAGTTGCTAAATGCACTATTATTTTTTTTTTGTACAAATACACCTTTTCCTTCTTCTACCATTCCCTCAGGCAATCCAGTTCTTCTGGTTTATTTCCCATTTCCTCCGTTCAGGTAATGCTTCTGAACTATATGTCACCAGGAATTTCCTATAGCATGCTCCTGCTTTGTGTGCCGGTCATTAATGTCAACATGAAGTTTAGCTCCAAGAGAGCTCTGAGGAACTGTATAAGCAGACTCTCTCCAGTTTTACCACTCCCCCTGTTGTCACCTATGTCCTGTATCCCACTGTACACGTTCCTGTTTTTTAAGTGAGATGCCATCTTTTATACCAAATCCAGATTGCATTACCTGCCTTTAAAGGTAATAGTCAAAGTTCTTACTATCTGCATTTTCACACACCGGTTCTCTCAAGTCTCTGGAATAAAATTTACCTGCTTCTCCTCTTTTGCATTCATTTGACAGCATTCAACTCAATTTTGTTTACAGCACTGTTGTTTCCATATCTGAGGACTTTGACCATGCCTTGTGTTTGACATGAATTATAATAATCTTCATTGAAAAACGTGACAAGGTATTATTTATATTGAAGGACAACCTGAATTCATCCTAATTTCAGACCCACTTCTTCCCTTATCCTACAGCGTGATGGTTAAGAAGCTTTTGCTGTTCTCACACCCCATGAAAAAAATAATTCAGCTTGACATTTAGGAATTGCTATTTCCAACCTGCTTGCCAGAAAAATAGGAATGAAAGCAGTTTGCTTACCAATTCCTTTTTTCCCATTCTCCATAAGTGCTGTTTACTGTAAACAGCCACTAAAAGCTGGTCAGGAAACAGCAAAAAAAATTTAGACAAGCTCTTCCCTAGCCTAAGAGAAATTTTCATTTGTATTTATGACTTTATTCTCCAGACCTCCTTCCCCATTCCAATCAATTGGCCTGTTCATACTTCAGGTAACTTCACTAATTAGGTTTTTTCTTTCCTTTAAATGTCTTTGGCGCCGAGCTTTAAAACTTGATAACCTCCATTATAGATCAGCTTTTATTTATCCTTTCTAGCTCAAACTGAAACAATCTTATAGACCAATCTTATCTTTCGTGGGCTGCAATTTCTATGACACCCTGGCTTATCAAATCAAGTATCATTTATAAACCAAATGCATTGCATCAGCTTACTACTAAAGTGATGATTACATGAAAGAAGCTGCTGAGTGTAAATCAAGAAGTTCAAAGTAGGTCTTTGTAGGCATCAACAAGAGTATCATAATGATGATAAAAATTACTTCATTTTCAAAAGACCTTACAAAATCCCTCACCAAAAACTTTTTAAGGAAACTAAGTATCCATGACATAAGAGGGAAGGGCCTTGCATAGACAGATTGTGTCTAACAGTAAGAAAAGCCTGGAAAAGAGACAACTCAAGTGGGCAAGTTGGAGGTAGGCTCAACATAGGTCTCAAATCACTTGACATGAAAACGGTAGATAGGAATAAAACATTTCCTTTCTCTTCCCACAGAAGTAGTGGGTGCTGGTATCAAATGAAGCTAGAAGGAGCCAGGATCAAAACAAACAAAAGGAAGCTGGTCTTCAGACAGCTGAGCTTTGTCACTCCTAGCCAGAGGATGCTGCAGTTGCTTTTGATTTAGACCGGTCCAAGGAATTACCAGAAAAGCTCATGGAAAAGACATCCACTGAGTGACATTAACACACAGAAGTTCTGTGCAGTGAGGAAGCATAGGCTTCAAATGGTTGGAAGCTTAGAGTACTACAGAAAAGTAATTCTGGCCTTCTTCCTATAGCATCTCACATAGGTCAGAGTTTAAGGCACGCTGTGAGGCTAAATAGCCTTTTAAGTCTCTACTAGTATATATATGCACATGTGCATGGGTATACACACACACACAGTATATGCATATATACACACACAATGACTACACATGTGTGTAGCAATTAGGGGTGAACATAACTAACATCAAGACCAAAATATTAATTCTGAATCTTGCAATAAATCAATCAAGTTTTCTTTCACAGGGCAACAATAGGCCAAAAGCTCCTACCTAGCCTTTGAATCAGATACACCTAAAAAATAAACAGCTTCACTTAAATGTCCTTGGAAAATGTTCCAACATGAATTCTGCTCCTCTTAGACTGCTCTTGACAAGATTCTGAGTTAAAAAAAAAAAAAAAAAAGTGAGAGCAGCAGTCACAGGAGAAGCTTTGACGTCAAACTGAATGGAATAACATCAATGTCAGCCGGGATCTACTGCGCAGTCCATGTCTTGGAGAAATGAAAAAACTCACTTGTTTCTAAAGGAAAGAAATGGATCAGTACAGTACAAAACATTATGTCATCTTAAAATGTCTTGTCAGACATAAGTACAATTATTCTCTTTGCAAAGAATTTTTGAGGTTTCATTCTTCTGTTACTAAAAATGTCACAATTCCATGTAGAAGACTGAGAGGAACTGCAGGAAAACTACTGCTATTTGCAACGCCTAAAGATAGAAATTTAAAGCCTTCTAGATAGTTAGACAATCACATGAAACTGGATGAAATGCTCGAGATTTCCAGGTAAGTACGTAACCACTGTTTTCTGTAACTCGGGGAAATTAGTCAGTATGAAAAAGATCTCTTTCACTCTGGGTGAAAAGTGGAGGAAAATGGGCTATTCCCTAACCTTTTTCCTGTCTTTCCAATTCCCTATACTTTTTATAATGTTCATAAGGTAGCTTTAAGTTATTTCTGGCTGTAGATCTAATTACATGTACTCAGGGCATTACCACAGCATAAGATTTAACAAAGCAAAGGAGTTGCAGAAAAGAACAATCTTCCCAATGCTTGACTCTGCTAGTGGATACCAGTACTTCTGGGGGCCCCAGTTTGATTTTCACCTAGTAGCAGAAACAGGTATCACAGGTATGATCTTATGTCCCTTTGCAGTTCTCAAACGAGGTAGGATTAATGCAGCCTGATCTGTGTTTAAGGATTTTACGTAGCTGGAACCAGATGACTTGGCTGAAAAATGCCTTCTGGAAAAGTTAAGACTTGGAGACAATTTGTACAAATCTTATGATGAAAAAGTGTAATAATAGCAATATAGAGAATAATCTCCTCTTACTTGAAGAAAGTCAGATATCTAATACATGCATGAAACTGGGAACCCAAAAGGACAAGAATAGTTTCTTAAACCTAGTCTCTGTAGAACCACGCACCCAAAACAATTGAAGCATACTTTTCTTAAAGAAAATAAGTACACAAGGCTAGACATGCACTACCAGAACCACTAAGTTCCAAGTCCATGACCTCAGGCTGAAGTAATGGAAATGCTCCATGGCTATAGCTGCACAATCGTGACACATCTACTGACTACCACACAGTCAGTACCATTGAGCTTGCAACAATGTACTTCAAGTTAAATTTTAAATTATTTAAGATCTACCTAGTACTTATGTTAAGAAAAAAAGACAACTAAAAAGACAACTAAGCTAATACACATTTCAACTTCACAACTCACAGAGAATCTAAACTTTAAAATTTCAATGACACAGTGCCAAAACAGATTCAGAATGAAGTTTTATAACTTCGACATAAACATTCAGTATTCTAACTTTTGAAATAAATATACTATGTTGAAATGAGACAGAATACATAAATGGTTTTTACCTGATTCTTTGAGTCCTCAAATCTTCTTTTTGGTAAACTCTGCTAAAAAATTTCAAAAGCAATGTACGAACAGGAAAGAGGAGATTCCTTTGCTGGTATAGTGTATATACTGCTTTTATCAAGGGTTCTGTTGCCACTAGAAAGAAAAATATATAAAAATCTGAAGTAGTGCTTCTTAATATTATCCTTTTACACATACATACACACACACACACACACACAGAAGAGCTATCATCTGTATATGCAACTATCTACATTTAACTCCACAGGGAAGCACCAAAATGTTTTAAAACAACTACTGGATAGACTTCTAAACCATTGAAACACCACCTTCTGGTGTAGCTTGTGGAAGAGCCACATGAATGAATAGAGACCACATGTAAGTGAAAACTTTAGACCTTCTTGAAGACAAAACAGCGCACAGGTTGCGATGTAGCTGAGAACCAATAAAGTCCTGCTTTCCACTGCTGTCTTCCACATCCTTTTCCACTAGTGCAGTAACCTCACACCGATCTTCTCTTTTCCTCCTCACCTATGTGCACCCAAACCTCACTGTCACAGTGCCTTCAGTTCTCTCGATACTATCCCTTTCTCCCTGCCACACACACCAGCCTTATCAGCTCTCCATGTCTTTGAACCAGCCGGCTCCAAATCACATTTCCTGATTATCCAGAAAATACATACCTCACGAGGCCACTGGCAAGCCACTACAAAGAGAACTGCTAAACTCACACTGCAACCTTTTCTTCTCTGAAGGTCTCATCAGCTACATGTTATCACTAGGCTTAAAACAACCTATGTAAGTTCTACCCTGATGTCAAAGTTAGATAAAACCAGCCAGGAAGTGCAGAGGTTATTATAGTAGACTGAGAAACAGACCAAACATTTTCTTTGGAAACCAGATGAAACCACTGGATGTAAAAATTAACAAAGCGTGGGGGGAGGGAAAAAAAAAAAATCATACAAACATCTGAATTCAGAGAAGACAAGCCTGGAAAGAATGGGGAAGCATCTGAAAAGTTGAGAGATATATAAAGGATATGAGACCTGGCTCAATTTGCCTCAGAAGAGCTTGGGGTGCCAATGAATTAATTTCTGTCAAGATATACTTAAGTAGCAGCAATCACTTAATTATCTTCATAAACCAAGACTGGGAAACCTTTCCCTGTCCATTCAGGTGTACAGAGCAGTCTTAGTAAGTTACGTGTTCAAAAACAGATATAATTGTGTTCCACACTGAACAGAGCTACTGCCCACAGAGACAAGAATGCTCCATACTCAAAATGATTCTGAATCCAGTCAAGGGCTGGTCTTCATCAGTAAAACTCTTATCAGGGAACATATTTAAGTTATCTTATAGGGATTCTCACTAAAAGACACACTATAAAAAGCACCTGAGATGCCTTGGTGTGACAGATGCACTCGACCTCTTAACCAAACTAGCAGTAGTTTGGTACAGGCTCCAAAGGAAAAGGCCTAAGCCATTAACAGGCCAAGAACTCCTCTGATTTCAATCTGTTCCCTGAAAACCCACAAAGGAGCAGAGTGACACGGTGAGCATCCATGCATATGAGCTTGGAAAACCGATCATGCGATTAACACATGAATAGCAGGTGGCTTTTCCAAGACTCATTTGTCAAGGAACAAAGAAAGTTGTGGGTACAACAAGCCTCATGCCTACCTTTCCCATCACATGTAGTTTGACTACAAGCCAACCGCTTTATTCCATAAATACGACAGCCTGAAGTGAGACTTTTTTGAGCTCTCCCTGCTAGGCAACGTGGCTGCATGGCAGTGATCTCCCCTTGAGCCAGGATGCCTCTCATGGTTGCTCCTCAAGGCAGAGAGACCTTTTACCAACAGCAGATCTTTGGTAAGTGACTGATACCACACATAACTTTGTAGTATGGTAACTTTGGTTTGTGCCTTGGTAACTTTGAATCGTTGTTCAAACGATTGTGCCGTACAGTAATAGAGTGAACCTTGCCATCGAACTATGTTAAGTCACACTTTCACAACATCATATTAAAACTACTTTCGCTAATAGCTTTGATGGTGATTCTTTAAGTGATCTAAATCGCCCATGCACGACACATGGTCATACTCAAGCATAATACAGGGATCCATTTAGAAGTTGAAATGTAACATATTTCTCAACAGAAAAATACATCAAATATTAGAATGGATTTTAATTAAGTTCTTTTCATTGCATCAGGAGCATCAACTTACTGAATTCACATACTCTTCAGGCAAAGATTCATCTTGGACAGCGTTTCTTAAACAGAACACTTGCTTATTCTTAACTGAATAACAATTATACCTTTATGTAGTTTTTAGCTAATTAATGAACTGTTAACTGAACAAATATAATGAGAAATAAATATTTTAAGTGTGTAGAACACTCAGCCACCTTCCAGTAACTCTCTGTGGCACATTTAGTAAAGCAGGTCCTACTATTTGAATTGCTTCGTGTGAACAGGACAAGTTTAAAAACAGAGGCAATTTAAAAATGTATTCTTAGAAAGTAGTACTTAAAAGGCCCACATTATACAAACTTCCAAAATGTGGCCAAAGTCCTCACGATTTTTAACATATTTCAGTTTTAACTGGCACATGACAAGGCTCCTTCTGAAGTGACTGAGTGTACTCTCGTCATTACTTGAAGAAAATTTATCAAAAATACAACTAGCAGACAAGCTGCTGCTAAAGTCATACCTGAGAAATGCAAGAAAGAAGCAGACCTCCTAATTACAGAGAGCAGATCCAGAGTCTGATCTTAAACAATAGAGAGAAGTTTTCAGATGTCACAGCTCGAAGCTCTTCTAGACATCCACAAAAAGGTGCATTTCGACCCAGCATAAATAGCTACTCAAAATAGGGAATCCTGAAAAATGTGACTGCAAAGATACCACCATGCTTTTGTGGCACAAGGCGCAGGAGAGCTTGACTATGGTCTTATTTAATCTCTCATTCATTACCTCTTTGTTTTTTCTATCTAAATTTCCTCTCTTGTGATTTCCATTGTGTTCTAAAAAATTTTTGATTGTAATAGTTAATTTTTTCTTTTGCATCATCTTCTAAAGAAGACATACCCTCCCAGGCCCTTAATCTCAATGTCAGATAGGTTTTAAACAAGTCAGAGTTATATTTTTGGTATATACCATCTTTTGCAGTATTATGTGACACAATAAAGTTCAGAATTTCTAGAGCACTGTAAAAAAAAAAATCAAGGAAGGAAGCTTTTCTTCTTTCACAGAATCACATAATGGTTGAGGTGGGAAGGGACCTTTGGAGGTCATCTGGTCTAACACCCCTGCTGAAGAAGGATCAGCATGTCCAGACAACTTCTGAATATCTCCAAGGATGGAGACTCCACAACCTCTCCAGGCAACCTGTGTCAGTACTCAGTCACCCTAACAGTGAAAAAGGATGTTCCTGATGTTCAGGCAGCATCTCCTGTGTTTCAGTTTGTGCCCATTGCCTCATCTTGTCACTGGACACCACTGAAAAGAGCCTGGCTCCCTCCTCTTTGCACTCTCCCTTCAGGTATTTACATACACTGATGAGATGCCCGAGCCTTCTCTTCATCAGGCCGAACAATCCCAGCTCTCTCAGCCTTTCCTCATAGGAGAGATGCTCCAGTGTGTTCATCATCTTCATGGCCCTTCGCTGGACTCTTTCCAGTATATCCACGTCTCTCTTGTATTGGGGAGCCCAAAACTGGACACAGTACTCCAGGTGTGGCCTCATCAGTGTAAAATAGAGGGGAAGGATCACCTCCCTCAACCTGCTGTCAACACTCCTCCTAATGCAGCCCAGGACACCACTGGCCTCCTTTGCTGCAAGGGCCCATTGCTGGCTCACGTTCACCTTGGTGTCCACCAGGAGCCCCTGGTTGTTTTCTGTCAAGCTGCTTTCCAGCTGGTCATCCCCCAGCAAGTACAGATGCATGGGGTTGTTCCTCCCCAGGTGCAGGACTTTGCACTTCTCCTTGTTGAACCGTCAGCCCATTTCTCCAGCATGTCGAGGCTGTGTTTCCTCTACAGCTAGTACATGAATTTTAATCTGACATCTAGTCAGGCTTTTAGTACTGCACAAGGATTATCTTGAAGGGATGAGATACATTTTCCACACAAACAGATACAGATTCGTGAGGTAAAGAATTTCCTACTTGCAGTGAAATTCCTGAACCTTTACAGGATCAGCAGACAAGATCCATACATATTAATCTTTTGGAATTTCATTTAAACTTTTTTTAAGCTTATTTATTTTCTACATTCCTGAGGAAAATTACTGCACTAAAATGGCCACTTTGGTTAGAAAAACACCAGCCATTATCCACTATCTGGTAAAAGTTTGTTAGACAAAGGAAAAATCAATGTGTGAAGTATCTGATTTAACAGTGTAACTACTTTCCTGAGTAACAGCTCCTTTAGCTCAGCTGGTGAGACAGGCACATCTCTGACTGTGGACTATTATTTGCCTTCAACAGGAAGCTAAATTTGGAGTGCAGATAGGAATGATTACTTGTATCCTTGTCATCAGGGACATAGGAATAGACAGATTCCCAATTAAAATGGATTTCGAAGGAGATACAACTAACTGCCAAAATATATTTGAGGGACGTTTAACATCTTTTCATCTTACAACACTAACAATGAAACCTGCTGCTAAGGGCAATGCATTTTCTATAAACTCTACTTGGCTGCACGGCTGTGGAATTCACTTTTACCAGACTGGTAAGACACAATAGACCCTTGCCACCTTTAGACTTATTGAAAAATTCCTTTCTTAAAGAAGTCCTACATCAATCACTTAGCAGACATGTCAACCAAGGTCTCATATGGAACACAACCAAGTAGTACTTGAAAAGCAAAAAGAAAACCAAAAAAATAAAAAACCAAACCCAAAATACTGTACTGGTCCTGCAAGTCACAACTGGAAATATGTTTTCTCTTGGAAAAGGATTCAAATCAAACACATTGGAAAATATTCTACAGCAGCTTCCCTCAGACCTATCGTGGCATTTCATGTCATCACAGAACTATAATGGTCATCTGACAGTGCTCAAGGGAGTCTTCCAGCTACATTAGGCATTTTAAATAAGGATTAGAATATTAATGTATTATGCGCCTCTACATCCTAGTAATTATTTTTTTCAATGAAGAAAACTCATCTTCCTTTTTATAAGAATATCTTAAGAAGTAAAAACAGAAAACAGATACACAAATATATTAATACTTTACATATCAACAGTATGAATCCAACAGCATTCCTAAAAATCAATCAGTTTTCAATGCTATGCGCAGGGATATGACCATGAAATTCAATTTACCTCTATAGACAAAATACATTATGATGTAACAACTGAGGATATAAGATGAAGTGACCTGAAAACACTAGAAGAACTCACGCTCTTTGTCAGTGCATAATTTCGCTTTTCAGGAACTACTCATATCTTACCTTTGTTTTGCTGTATTTGCATTAGCCTCCAAGTCACACCAAGCAATCTGTTCACCTGCTTGCTATTCAGCTTGCTGCCATCCTGAAGAGTATCTGTCACAAATTTCCTTATCATATCCAGCCAACCAGAATCCATCTGAAGTGTTGAAGTGCTTGCTAGTGAAACCATTATGTCACACAAGGTTAAGTTCAGTAAAAGATGGTCTACGATGTTTGAGGATGTCATACAATACTTGTTGCTAAGGGGAAGA